GTGTGTGTGTGTGTGTGTGTGTGTGTGTGTGTGTGTGTGTGTGTGTGTGTGTGTGTGTGTGTGTGTGTGTGTGTGTGTGTGTGTGTGTGTGTGTAAGCCACAGGTAAACAAACTTTCAGTGTTGTTCCTCAGAATCCTCCTACTTAGTTTTTTGAGACAGGGTTTCTCAGTAGCCTGCAGCACACCAGTGAGGCAAGCCCCAGGGATCTGCCTGCATTACCTTCCCAACCCTGGAAAGACAGGGTACACTGTGCTTGGCTTTTAAAAATGGGTACTTGGGATCAAATTCAGGGCCCTATGCCTGCAAGAAAACAAAACACCTCACTGACTGAGCTATCTCCCCAGACCCCACCCCCAATCCTTTCTGTTTTTTTGTTTGTTTATTTGGTTGGTTGGTTGGCTGGTTTGGGTTAGGTTTTTTGGTAGAAGCAAAGTCTCATTGTGTAGTCCAGTCAGCCCTAAAACTCACTTTCCTCCTGCCTCAGCCTCCCGAGTGCTGAAACTTCAGCATCTTTGTGGAGCTATAAGAACCCATCTTTATGGATTAGGGAGTGGAGCAGACATCAGCTCGCCCTCTCTCAGGAAAACATCCCAGCAGGGCTCACCTCAAAGGACTGGAAGGTAAGTCCCACGTGGAAGCCATCCGCCACTGTGATCCTCCACACACATTCCTTGGAAGGTCTGTAGTCATCTGGGTAGTTGGGAGATTGGATTTGACCAGCATCTTTGGTGATGTCTCCCCCACACATGGCTTTAGAAATGACAGAAGAAAAGCAGGGTTGGTCTGTGGTCACATCTTACAAATGCAGGTGAGTAGCTACTTATTGCCACTAGGTGGCCCCAAGAACTAGCGTTTTCATCCGGGTCTATCAAAGCAGGCCTTTAAGGCAGGAGGGTTTCAACGCTGAATAGCAATGTCACACCCTCTGTGTACAACAGAACTATGTAGGAGGTTGTTCCAACTGTGGCAGCCTGGCCTCGACCTCAGTCTTATTCAGATGGGCCTGGAGACAGAGGTTCTGCAGAGAACACATGTGCTTCACACACTTATGTACACACAGACACACACGTGCACCCACAGGTATGTTCACTATTCCTTTTATGCAATAAAGTTTTGGATTCTCCAATTTCTCAATGATTCAAGGCAAAGGGGACTTTGATACTTCTTAGTTCCATTCCTTTGTGAGATGGCAGGGTTAGAACACACTGAAACAGCCCTCAGGGTGATCTTGCAGCTCTTCTCATGCATGAAGAGGGACCTCCAGGTAGTACTGGGTTACCTTTTCACTGGTAAAACAAGAGCCCAGAGAGGACAGGTCCCCTCTGCTTGAGCTCTCATGGGAGGTTGGAGGCCACTGCCATCTCTACAGGACTCTATACCCTGACACCTTCCATACCCCAGCTGGGATGAGAAGAGAGCCCGATGGGCTTGTGGCAGTGGCTGAGCTGCCACAGCTGGCCTTTGCCTTTCCAATGTGAGAGGCAGTGTGTTAATAGCAAGTGGCCTCATACACCTGGGAAGGAGCCAGGCTGCGATAGAAGGACAGGTGCTTGTCCGTGGCCATCTGCCTGGCTGCTCCATCAAGAACAAACCTTCATATACTGCAAAGAAGCCCTTGCCCAAGATGCTGCTGCTGCTACGGAATTCCACCCACAGCCGGCTGTCCGAGGAGATGAGGGGCTCAGGCACCTTATCGCCGCAAAACCTTCCTGGAGAGGGAAAGGACAGTCAGGACACTGTGGACATTGAGCTCACCTCACCACAGCCTGAAGAAAAGACGGCAAGTAAGCAGTGACCCTCAAAGTGACAGTGGATCCTGCAGTACACCCAGGGCAGAAGATGGGCCTAAGAGTGTCACATCTGTGCACCCACGAAGGACAAGTCCGGATTCTAGGTACAAAGCACAGGGCAGATGGCAGGTACCTTCCCCTGCCACACAGGTCCCGTGGCAGGTCCTGTGGTGGGTCTCCGAGGGGAGGGGGATGGTGCTTTGTTACTGCTGATGTGTCTTTCTCCAAAGCTTCTGAAGACACCCACACCCCTCCCTTTGGGACACTGGCCATTCTGCTGCCCTTGCCTCAGAAATGGAGCCAGAGACCAAGAAACCCAAGCCTCTTGGCATTGAACTGCTCAGGACTGGATGCAATGCCTAAGGCATGGGGTTGAAGAAGGGTGGGTTCCTCAGCCTGGTGGCTCAGAGACGCCCAGAGAGGGAGACTGAGATAAAAAACAAAAAACTTCAGAGGGACACCATGGAGCCCCATAAGGACTGACTCCTTGTCCCCTTCCCCCAAGCTAAGATGATGGCTAGAACAAGATGATAAAGACTACAAGGAGATTTAATGATCTGGGAGAACAGAAAATGGTGTCCCCAGTCCCTGTACAGAGCCCAGCAGGGCAGCATGACCCAAGACCCTTGATCTTTCTGGGTCCAGTAAGGAAATGTCTATGTGGTTTGTCCAGACCTTTGCCAATGACACAGCCATGCAAAGTTCCCCATGTCAGCCCTGATGCGACACAGCATCGTAACTACAGGCTCCTGAGAAGGTATGGAGGCCACTTTCCCACAGTTCACAGACCTTGGGAGCCATAGAATAGCTCCCATGCTTGGAAGAGGGTGTGTACTTAGATATCATCTGAGGTACCTCAACTTGAGGCAAATGGGGAACTATAGAGCAAGCCCAAAGTCTCACCATGTAGCCCAGGCTGGCATTGAAGGCATCAAGTAGCTCAGGCTGCCCTCAAACTTACTGGATCCCCCTGCCTTAGCCTCTCAAGTGCTGGAATTATAAACATGTGTCATTGTGACCAGCCCTTAATTTTTTTTTAAAAAAAAAATGGGTAGTTTAACCATTAGCACCATGTAAAGCCCTGGACAAGGTGCCAGACACTATAATTATGCTTTATTCTTCTGAGAAAAGTGGAAAAACATAAGGCTGAGGAAGAATTAGTACCACAGTGGGCTTTTCCAGATGGTCAGCTCTGTTTCCATTCTTTGAGGACAAACAGTGCAGAGGGATGCCAGTTGACTCTGCTCCCTCCTGGCTCTGGCTGCCTCTAGCCATTGGATTTGGTAGTTTTCATACTCAATGCAATAATAACTTTGCCAAGACTTTGGCAACGAAAAACACATTAGAAGGACTGGGGAAATGGCTCAGTTGGTGAAGTGCTTGCTGTGCAAGAATGAGGATTTGAATTTGAGCCCCAGAAACCACATAGGAAAGTCAGGCATGGTGGTAGGTGCTTATCATTCTAATACAGGGGAGGAGGAGTCTCACTGGCTAGCCAGCCTAAAAGTGGGTGGCATTTGAAGAATGGCACCCATTTAGTCCTACCCACATATGCATACATGCTCCTGAGTACACGTTCACCCATGTACATACAAGCATGCACATGCACGCATACACACAAATAAATAACATACTAGAGAGCTATCAGCTTTGGGTAGTGGCCTCTAGTATGGCCAATTATTGTGATGAGTTTTGGGGAAATGACAGGTAAATATTAGGGAGCACCACTTTTCAGCAGGAAGAGCACTGAGCAGTCAGGCCATGCCAGCCCTAAGTGGGACTCCTTCACCTAGCCCAAGTTTCCAGTTAAGTTTCTCCTTTTAAAACCAGCTGCCACAGCCACTGAGGACCTGGTACAAATGAGAGTGGGGAGGTCTACATTCTCACTGCCTATGGGCCTAACTCAATGAGAAGAGCCATCTGCCACCCCTGCTGCAGGATGCCCCACCCCTGCCCAGCCCTCTGGTCCAGGCATGTATTGTTCTGCTTTGGCAGATCTTCCAAATCTCTTTGCGATTCTTAGCTGGGCTCTCAGCATTTTCCTTGTTACCACAGGAACTGTAATGGAAGCCCCCTTTCGCCATTGACCATGTCTGTGTAAGACCCAGTCTGAAGCACTTGACATGGACTATCTCATCTCATCCTCACTTGCAGTGGTTTGAATCTTAAATGTGACCCAAAAGCTCCTGGGTTGAAGGTTTGGGCCTGAGTGATCAGATGTAGGGCTTTGGAGAGGCTACTGCATCCTGGGATCTCTGACCTTATCGATGGATTAGTCCATTGATGGATTCATAGATTAAGGGCTATTTAGGGGTGGGAGAAACTAGGTCAATGGCAGTGTGCTCTCAGTGAGTATCCTGTCCTCGTCCCCACCCCCACCCGTCACCATGAAGGGAGCAGCAGTTTTTTTCTGCCTGCTGCCTCTGGCCTTGTCACAAAATTAAAAGCTCTCAGGTCAGGTGACTATGGACTGAAACCATGAGCTCAATAAACCTTTTCTCTTTCCGGTTGATTTCCCTCAGGAATTTTGTCTCACCAAGGGAAATCTGATACACTGCTGTTATCCCCATTTCACAGATGAGAAAAGTGAGAATGAGAGCATTTGCCTCAAAGCTGGAGATGGAAGCATGATTTGAAGATGGGCAGTTTGAGATCCAGATTTGTATTGTTGCTATCTCCTTCATCACCATCACCCTCAGAAGGAACCTGGGTGTAATTCTGAACATTGTACAATTTTGGATAAGACCCCAAATGTGTTTTCTGGGAATGGAAGAGCCATGCTCATGTCCCAGCTCAGAACAGGACACGCACAAATGAAGAACAAGGCCTCAGACCACAAAGCACGTTTGTTCCAGTGCCAGGCTTGGCTGTTGGCCTCACACTATCATGTCTGTTCATTTGGGAAACTGCCCTTGCCCAGGAAGCCTCAGTAGTGGGGCCACGCGACTCTGATGGACCAGCCTGGCCTTTCTGAACTCCGCTCCATGTTTCAAGGGAATGGGATAAGGGTCTTTTGTGTGTATTGTGATGATACTGAATGCCAAGGCAGCTCTTTGGACAAAAGTATAGTGCTTGAAGTGATTTTTTTAATGGCAACAGGGGAGGGGAATCCACATTGTAGGACAGTGTTTAAGACTACTCCTCTGCAGGAGTCACCCCTAACCCCCCACCCCACCCCATGTTAAAGGCAAGTGGCCCCTGGAACAAGGGAAAAACCCATTTGTGATCTTTAACCAGCTGTGAAACATTCTCATCTACTTAATTTTCTTTTGAAACCAATAAGTGAAAACCTGGATCACAAACAGCCTCCCTCGGAAGAGGCTAGGCAGACTGTCGAGAAACTGGCATGGAGAGGTGTCAATTCCTAGTCTGAAATCTGGTTCCTGGGTTTAGAGGAGTTTAATAAGGATATCAAGAAGAGGAAATGCAGATGAGGACACTCCCAGTGGGCTCTGTGGGGAGTCATAAAGGGCCCATTCATAAAAAGTTATGCACGCATTATGCCTGGATTTTCACACACTGCCCTGGGAAAAAAATGTGATGCAGAGCAAGATGTCTACTTTACAATCCATCCTAATCCGCTCTCCCTCCTGCCAAAGGGGCATTGACCTGCCTCCTCCCAGCAGATTTCACGGCACTGACCCCTCCCAGGGACCAGCTTAGCCAACACAATACACTTGTTCCAAACACAAAAATTCACTAACGACTGCATTTGGAAACATCAGAGCAGACCAAATAGTTGGCAAAGAAGGGTGCCTGCAAATGAAGAATGATGGTTCCAGGCACTTGGCCATGCCTTAACTGCAATACTACTGTGTGTGAGAAAACACCCATGCAAGTACACACACACACACCCACACACACACACACGGGGAAGGGAGGGAGGGAGGGAGGGAGGAATTCAGGTCAAACATGAGTCCTAACTCCACTCCTGCCAAGAAAAATCAACCCAAGCCAACACAGCTAAACTGACAAACTGCACAAGTCCTGTCCTGTTCTAGTACTAAGAGACACCAGGATCCCCACTGAGAAAATTCCCACTTGTCATTCAAGCAAAGGGGATGCCTGGAAACCGGCCTGTGTCCACTTTCTGAAACGTGCCTTGGCCTTCTTAGGGGAGCTTTGGCTCCTTCTTCCCATGGCTTTAGTCTAACCCATTCCTAGGGGTGTAGGACTACCAACCTCGGCAAACAAAACTCCAGGAAGCCTGGTTACCTTTGACTCCGAGATAAACAACACACGGTGTATTTCGTCTGACAACTTGGGATGGCAGGACTGCAAATACTTAGCAGTCACCTGTCCCCAGACCAGGGTATTGGAATTCTGGTCTAATTTCAGTCACTAGCTAGCCAGGAGTCCTTAGGCACTCAGTGTATGTGGGGAGCTGGGCTTTCCCCTGAAGTGTGGGATTCGGTGACTTGAAGGTATTGGTCAGGATGAGGGGGTCTGCGGTTCCTTGTGCTCACGAAGCCCCTCCCACATAGCTTTTGTAAAACTATTATTGTAAAAGATCCAAACACTAGAGAAGGGCACAAAACACAACATAATGCTGACCACCACCCCCGTGCTTCCTTTCTTAGAGGGAACCACTCCATCCCTTAATGAACACCCTTTCCATGTGTTTGGTACTAGACCAGAGCACATGCCAGGCTAACAGGATCATCCTCTGACCCAATTTGTGTGGGCTCTGGTTAAGTTGCTTTCCAGGAGTCTCATCAAGAGACATTTTCCAGGAAATGGTGGTGGTCAGACAAGTTTAGAAACCCTTTTCCCAGGAATCCAGCCTTATTGGGGCTCGGGTGAGTACATTTGTGTGTACAGGTGTGTTTGCACATGTGTGTGGGTGTGGATGTAATTGCATGTGCACCCGGGCGTGTGTGGGGCCAGAGGTCAACACTGCTATCTTCCTCACTCTCTTCATTATTTTTTGACACAGGGTCTCTTGCTGAATCCAGATCTCACTGAGTCACCTAGACTGGGTAGTGAGTTCTAGGGATCCACCTGTTTCCACTAGTGCCCCCAGTCCTGGAGTCACAGACACACACTACAGTGCCTGGCTTTTTGTGTGAGAGCTAGGGACCCAAACTCAGGTCCTTATGCTTGTGCAAAAAGCACTTT